GTATTTACGAAAAGCCTTATTGTACGCTCGATTTTATAAACTTGTGATACTCACCAACTATTTTCATAGTTGACGCTCGTTTTACATGCTTTTTCAGGAAATAATTAGTAAGTGGATGTAAAGATTCATCATCATAGAGCATGCTGCATCGTGTTGAAGCTATTATGAAGCTATATTTTGAACAATGTTATTTTGAAAAACTTGTATTTTGTTCTTTTGAAGCTATGGGTTGTAAACTTTTAAATACTGCTATGGTGATGTATCTTTATCTTTTGCAATGAAACCGTTATCGCTGTCATACCTTGCGTTTCCGCTTTAGCGGGGTGTGACAATAATCATGCAAATTAGCTTCGCACACTAAATGATACAATCACCTAAGCATGTGACTGGGATACCAAGGAGTACAAACAAGATGCTTTGGATCTATGTTTTCTCTATTATACATGCATACATTCAATATTCCAAAGCATCATCCTAAATAGCGTACAATGTGGTTTAAATAACATGAAATACAAATTAGATGACATGCCTTTTAGTATCGTTGGAACCCTTGGACCTTTAAGAACTTAGTGCCCCAAGTGTTGCACCTCAAATGGAATCACAACACGCCATTGGACAAATGAGACTTTTGAGAGAGTATTTTCTTGCACCAAAGTCGGCTAGCCCTCTATTATTCCACTAGTGCCATTTTGGTAGCCATGAGGCTTCATATAAAGTGTGGCACAACTAGGGTTACACCATGAAAACCCTAACGTGAGTGACTTTCCACATTCCTTAGGCTCCATGGGTTTAACCTTCATGGAGTATCCATGTGTATCTAAACAATTTTAGAACTTATATCAATAAGTCTCAAATGTTTAGACCTTTTCCATTTCTCACAATTCGAATTATGAAAACAGATTCCATAATCATAACCGAATTTGAGAATGCAAATCTCAACACTACTATCTCCTTAAAATCTACTTAGTGAAAGCGTTTCCTCACCATCATTTTTGATGAATCGGAGAGAAATCTTATGTAACTTAAAATTATGTTGTATGTGTTCCTATCCATGTGAATTTGCCAAACCATAATCAAAAGAAAAGGTTGGTGACAAATCAAAACTCATATGGATTGAACTTGTTCAATCTTTATTTCTTGGCACTTGACAGCACAAGGGCCTACCATTGCTTCCAAGTTGTTAAGCAGCTCACCCATACTGATAAATTAAACTTTCATGTATCCATGTGCTTTGCCTTATGCAAACTATTCGAGAACTCATACAACTCACCTGCACAGTCAGCTTTTAACTGGAATCAGCATAGAAACAAGAATATATCAACACAGTAGGTTACCAACCTCAAGTCGTGTGCTAGTGTTTAACAATAGGTTTACTTTAGATTAGTTCTTGAAATTTTCAAGATCTTTAAGACTCTTACTGACTTCTTGACATATAAGATTCACTTTCTCAAGGAACATTACTTGACAAACAAATATTCAAGAGTTAGTGTCGATTCTAATCAAGACTAACACTTCACACGATTGGCCATAGTTGGTCTTTGTCTTATCCAAGACATCACAACTTACCAATTTCAAATCTACAAGAGTAGAAAACATTCAACTCTACATTTGATGAGTGTTATGAACCTTCTTAAGTTATGTCACTCTAATCACAATCTTGGAGTATGACTCTAAGACTTAAGTTATGTCACGATTCGTCTTCTTAGCCATACAAATGCACTAAGATATCCTTAGAGGATGAATTGTGATATGGTTATCCATAATTATTAAGATGATCATAAAACACTATACTAAAGTACTCTCCCATCTTTTCATATTGGAGAAACTTTTACCTTTCTGCCTAATTTGATTCTTCTCATTCGTTCTGCCATACATTGCACCTTTTCCAATGTTTCAGAAGTATACTTAAACTTGTAAGCATAACCATGTTTACTAAACTTTAGTAAATCATGACGAATAATCTTATCGATCTTGTGGTGGAACTGACCAACATACGACCAAGTGTACCCGATCCCGTAGTCCTTTACTTGACTCATATATACATGTGAACAAGGAATTAGTCTTAATTTACCAAGAGAAAGGTTCTCATTCATCACACAATACAAGTTGCATGATTCCAAGTTTCTATCCAACTGAAACTTGGGTGATGAGAATCTTTCCTTATTTGGTAAATTTTGACATTACCACGAACGAAAGAATCAAATCCATTTTCCAAAATTGTTATCAATGGAAACATATAAGAAACCATTTTTCACAAATACCATTGTAAGGAAATTTTAAAAACAAGATAAATTTCAAAATTTCCTTTATTTATAAAAATTGCAGAAAATTTATCCTTACAATGCAAATACATATGCAAACAATTTTGTTATCTATTCCTAAGCAATCTATCATGACTCTTAAGCAGCAGCCAAAATCCTGATCATCGAATCATGCGATCAAAATCCATCTCTTCACAATCAGAATCAGCTTACTCTTGCTTTAAGTTTCGTTTAATTTCTTTGATTCTTCAAAACATCAAAATGTAATTACATTACATCATGTATTAAGAATCTCCCAATAGGAACTTAATAGAGTTAGATAGTGGATTTTACCTGAAGTAGTGTCAAATATTCTGACTTTACCATCCTTGGATCTTTTAGGTAAATATGGCAGCTTCGCAACAAATGCCCCTTCTTTTGGCAATAGAAACATATGGACTCTTTGGCACATGGGACAATCTCAGACATAATCCTTCTCTTTACCATTTGGTCAACTGGGTTGACTATGGCTGGTCCCTTTCCACTGGGAAGAGAAGACTTTCTAGATTTTCAATTTTTCCATAATCAATGTCCATGGAAGTTTGGAGAGTAGATCTTCCAATCAAATTTGCTTTACCAGTACGCCAAATCATTGCTGATTCAGCAGCAACAAGCAAATATGTTAGATCAATAAGGGTTAGTTTGTGATCTCCCATATAGTAGTCCTTAAAGAACCCGCCATATGAGCTAGGGAGTGACTAAAGAACCAAGTAAATAGTCAACTTCCTTTGAGACATCGAATCCCAACTCTCCCAACTTGCCAATATGTAACTTCATCTCCACGACATGAGCACATACAAACTTTCCTTCCTGCTAATAGGGCTTTGAGTGACCTAGAACTTGTGGGTTAGGGAGAATTACTGAAGTAGGTGGAGGAAGTGAGGTTCCACTACAGAACGAAGAAGGGATTAATCTTTCACCTTGATCACCGGGTGGAAAATCATCTTTATAAAGAAGGTTTTTTTTTCAAATGATTCTGGAAGACTGTAGTTGTCTGAACTATACATCTATAATGGGAGAAATTCAAGTTAGTTGATTTAAGACCTTAATATAAAACCCAAATGAAATATTATGGCTAGAACCTAACATAATATTTTACAATTCGGAAGAGGGATGTTGTAATCCTATTCCAAAATATTTGAAGGTAGGTAAATGACAATTTCCCAATTTCCACCATGAAAAAAAATTGATAATTAAGTTTTAAATGGATTGAAATTCATATATCCTTTGAGATTCATTGAACTTGTCAATGGCATGTTGAAATATCGATTGTGCCCTTCAAGTTTGTGACAGGGATGCCGAAGATCACAAACAAGGTGTGAATAATCATGCAAATTAGCTTGGCACACTAAATGATACAATCACCTAAGCATGTGATTGGGATACCAAGGAGTACAAACAAGATGCTTTGGATCTATGTTTTCTCTATTATACATGCATACATTCAATATTCCAAAGCATTATCCTAAATAGCTTACAATGTGTTTTAAATAACACGAAATACAAGTTAGATGACATGCCTTTTAGTATCGTTGGAACCCTTGGACCTTTAAGAACTTAGTGCCCCAAGTGTTGCACCTCAAATGGAATCACAACATGCCATTGGACAAATGAGACTTTTGAGAGAGTATTTTCTTGCACCAAAGTCGGCTAGCCCTCTAGTATTCCACTAGTGCCATTTTGGTAGCCATGAGGCTTCATATAAAGTGTGGCACAACTAGGGTTACACCATGAAAACCCTAACGTGAGTGACTTTCCACATTCCTTAGGATCCATGGGTTTAACCTTCATGGAGTATCCATGGGTCACCACATGGGTTTAGCCCAAAATAAAGAACTATAGATCATAAGCCCACTTTATAAGAATGAATGATTTACACAATCAATCCGCATATATTTAATTAGTCTCTTTTGATCACATTATTAATTCTTGATCAATACTAATTAAATAATATGATTTCGTATTAATATATTAGAGCTTATAATATAATAATAAATCATAAAAAACCGCTTCCGAAAAGTCCATCCTATCAAATTGTCCTAGTGATATGCAACCCAAATAGACCATGCTACTCTTAGATCAAGTACATACCGATTATAGTTATGGACTTAGACACTAATCCTACAGTTACAAGATAAAGTCACTCAACCCCAGGATGTTTCCTCCATTTTCTTCGGTTTGAGGGTCTGACAGATTGGTATCAGATCAATGTTTATAGTGAATTGGCATATCTAATCATACGAGATATGAGACTATAAATACATTGGGACTAAACTACTCTGAACAAAATGAATAAAATACATACCTATATGTACATTTAGAGTATCGACACAATAAGAAACAGTAAAAGGCTTTGGAGAATTTGAACATCGTGGTTAGACTCAGGTAGTTATGTAGTCGTATTGGGGGTAAATATATCCTGATCAACTATATTTATTCAAAATACAACAACCATGTGCTCGGGATTGATTGTGGTGGTCGATGAATCTAAAACTTATCATCTAATTATCCAAAAAGTATTAAGGAACCAAACCTAAACAATTAAAATGCTATAGGAGTTTTTTAGAATGCTATCTACATACACCCCTACACGTTTCTCACACCTCCATTTCTCGTGTAGACATGATGGCCGAATACCAACAAAGTGACCTTTACTATCAGGCCTTGGTGGCCTACGGGTGGATAGAGGAGGAACCTCAAATGGTTCAAGAGATAGGTCCAGAGATAGGACCTAAGGAGTATCTAGAGACATATTACGAAGACGAGGGATCCGATGAGGAGACTAAAGAGGTAGAGGGTGTCGGGGAAGTCCCTAGTGAATCCCACCCTTTTGAGATGATACAATATCTGTACATAGAACAGGAGGACTCCACAGACTGGACTCGCTCCATGGAGGAGGGACTAGCCATTCTCAGGATCCAACTTTTTGCAGCAGAAGCAAGAGTTGTTCGGGCGGAGCAAGAGAGAGAGAGACGAAATCACTCAGGAGATGACTGAATTGACTGACCGTTTGGTGCGTTATTTCGGCATCTGAGCACCACCACCAGACACTTCCTATCGTGACTAGGATTAGCTCCACCCCTCATCACTGTTTTTATGATTCCCTTTTATGTACTGTTTTATGTAGAACCGGATTTATGATTAAGTGACTACACTACTCATAAAGTCGTTATGCTGTCGGAGCATATATGTCTTTATGTACTGTATGCCTTCCAAGGAGAATTTTCATGCATTGTACTACAAAGTTTAACTTTAATGAAATAGTTCTATGTTATATTTGTGAAATTGTTATTTGTTATGTGTTTTCTTTCCCTTGTTTCATGAGATTGTATGAATTCACTTATATGCACAACTCAACCATCGAAAGCACTAGATGATGACGAAACTCGAAACCACGAACTACTATGTACTTTCCATCCTTCTGTTCTACGACAGAAGATGCCTCAAAGACTGAATCGTGGAAACAACACATCACCACCACCGCCTACACCATAGGTAGACTCTGCTGCATTTTAGGCAGCAGTATCAGTTGTGGTCACTGCAACATTGGAACACATTCAAACCGGAAACAATGGTGGCGGTAATGGTCAAGGAACTGGAAGCTCGAACCAAGGAATGAACCAAGGTCCTACAAAAGTATGTACCTACAAATACTTCTCGAATGTCAAACCACAAACATTCATTGGAATGGGAGGCATCATAACTTCAAATCGATGGACGGAAAAGATCGAGTCAGTCTTTGAGATCTGCGGATGTCCTAAAGAATGCAAGGTGAAATTTGCAGCTTGCACGTTTTTCGACTAGGAACTTTCGTGGTGGAATGGTTATGTGGAGGCTAAGACACTCCCAGTGGAAAATTCCGTGCCATGGGAGGAGCTTAAGGAGATGTTGATCGTAGAGTACTATCCCCATGGGGAGATACAGAAATTGGAGCAGGAGTTAAGGAACCTCATAATACAAAACTCGAATATCGAGGCTTACATCTCAAGGATCAGTGATCTATCCCTTCTGTGCCAGAGTATGACCACATCATAAGGGAAGAAGATCGAGTGGTTCATTTGGGGATTAACTTATCCAATCGAAGGAAACATGATTGCGGTAAACCCAAAGAATTTTAACAGTGCAAAAAGAGTAGCTTAGAAACTTTACAACCACAGCAACAAGAAAGGAGCCAAAACTGCTGAGATCAAGACCAAGAAGGAAGAGAATAACAAGAAGAATGGAGACAACAAATGAAAGGAGCGAAAACACTAGAGATCCTCCAAAAAGAAGCAAACCATAGGAGTCAACGCTGCTATTGCTCAAATGTAGCAACCACCACCATGGAAAGTGCAGAGAAATACAATGTACCAACTGCAACCGCAAGGGGCAACCGCTCGGTACTGCAGATCTCAACCCCAATGGGGCCTCATGTCAAACAACAACAACAACAACAACAACAACAACAACAACAACAACAATAATAATAATAATAATAATAATAATAATAATAATAATAATAATAATAATAACACCGGGGCCAGTCATACTTGTTATGGATGTGGAGGAACTGGGCATTTTAGGCGCAATTGCCCCGAAGCCAACAACCAAGGGGCAGGAGGATCAGGCAGGGTCCTGAATTTGGGTCAAGGAGAGGTAATTCAAGACCCGATGGTTTTCACTAGTACGTTTCTCCTCAACAACACTTATTCATGCACTCTATTTGAGAGTGGAGCTGAGTAGAGTTTTGTGAGTAATAAATTCAAACACTTACTAAACCAACAACCCCAGAAGCTAAGTGAAGCCTTCACAATGGAGATGGCTAATGGGAAAACCGCAACAACCAAAGACGTTTATGTAGGGTGCACATTAATATTTAACAACCATTCATTTCAAATAGATTTGATGCCAATAAATTTTAGGAGTTTTGATGTGATAATCGGCATGGATTCGTTAAGCCCCCACCATGCTGATATTATGTGCCATGAGAAGGTCGTTTGCCTTCACTTCCCCAACCACAAAATCCTCATAATCTATGGTGATTAACCGGGTGCCAATCTCCATCTTATCTCGTGCATCAAGGCGCAAAAATGCATGCATAAGAAAATTATGCCTTCCTCGCTCACATTGTGGATAAGACAAAAGAGGAAATAAACATCAAAGATATCCAAGTGGCATGCCAATTTCCAGATTTGTTTCCTGAAGACCTTCTGGGAATACTCCCAGAAAGATGGGTTGAATTTCGAATTGACCTACTATCGAGAGCCACAACAATTTCCAAATCACCCTACAGGTTAGTTCCCACTGAAATTCAGGAGTTATCTAGTCAATTAAGCGAACTTCTGAACAAAGGATACATCAGGCCAAGCTTCTCACCCTAGGGAGATCCGGTTTTGTTTGTCAAGAGGAAGGATGGATCCCTCAGAATGTGCATCGACTATCAGGAGTTGAACAAACTCACCATCAAAAACTGATACCTACTTCCACAAATTGATGATCTATTCGACCAGCTTCAAGGAGCTATTTATTTCTCTAAAATAGATCTAAGATCCAATTATCATAGGCTCCGAGTTCGGGAAGAGGATATTCCAAAAACTGCTTTCCGAACTGCTACATCCGGATTCCCAGGTTAGTATTTCCATTATTTATTCTGAGTAAAGAAGAGGGACTCGGCGAGTTGACGCCTAGACTCGTCGAGTAGGATCGTGACTGATGACTAAGGGACTCAATGAGTTGGAAGGGGTGGACTCGACGAGTCCACCTTAAGGTCAGAAACCCTAAATCTCTAGGCCAGTGCCCTATTTAAGGGGTCTTATAACCCTCATTTGCGGCTACCAGTCCAGAGAGAAACCCTAGAGAGCTTGAGCGAGTTGTGTGAGAGGGAGAGCTATCTTGGTCCTTTTGTTGTGGCTCTGCAAAGAAGAAGTTGTTTCCAGCAAGAGAAGGTCAAGAGGATTGCGATTCTGTGGTTTTCAAGCTTCTGTTTTGTACAAGATCCTTGAATCTAGGATTTTCTCTACCCCCTTTATTGGCTTGAATTGATGCATATGTTGTCCCTTTGAGTGTTAGACTCTGGATCTGGACCTTTAGAGGTTCAGAGAGCATTATCTATCATGCTTTATCTTGTTCCATGGAGGAAATGAACCTAGGATGCCATTTTAGAAGCCATTTCACCAAAAGAAGCCTTGGGTGCGTTGCATGAGTGTCAATATTTGACATTTCCATGATTATTGGACATGGGGAAGTCAGATCTATAGGTTAGAGAAGCAGATCTGACCTCAGAAGGTCGTTTGGGTGTCGTCATGGAAGAAACTTGTCGAGTCCATATGGGGACTCGACGAGTCGAGTCGGGTTACCTCGTGACTCATAACCAGTGGTAAACCATCGAGTGAAGGGTTAACTCGACGAGCCGAGTAAGGATCTATGAGGATTCAGGGGACGCTTGGACTCAGCGAGTCACACGAGTGCACTCGATGAGTTTGTTCAAAGTTTGACCGGGGACTTGAGTTGAATTTAGTTGACCTTAGGGTTCTGGTCAACTGATTCTAGAAGAGAGGTCAGGGAGGGGTAGGATGGTCTTCTACCCACTCCTTAGAATTAAGGACAAGAATAAGTATTGATTATGGATGTTATCTTGATGATATGAGGAGGCTAGATTAGGTATTTGAGAACGGAAGGCTATCTAATATCGTACGAGGTGAGTTTTCTCACTATACTTTACCAAGAGTAGTAATAGGTGTGACCAAAAGGTCTTATGTGCTATGAGGAATATGTGATGTATGTTGTTACTTGATATGTATGTTCTATGTTATGTTATGAGAAGTATGCAACGGACCATAAGGTCATTATGATATGGACTGAAAGGCCATTACGGGTAGGACTGGAAGGTCTACCAGGGTTGTGGGATGGAAGTCCTCTGAGAAACAGTGACCAGAAGGTCTTATAGCCTTGAGTGGCGTATGTGCATATGTGGTATTTCGGGGAACTCACTAAGCATTTATGCTTACTGTTTTATGTGATATGTGTTTCAGGTACTAACGAGGACCGTGGGTAGGCGCCGACATGATCCGTACACACTGAGAGGATTTATGTATTTGAGATCTTGGTATTTTTTTATTTATGATAACATGTGATACAATAGATTTTTATGATATCTTATGAATGGAAGTATGTTTTAAAAAGGAAATTTTTTTTTGAAAATTTATGTTGTTACAAGTTGGTATCAGAGCCTTGGTTTGAGGGATTCGGATGCACCTTCGGGCGTATCTGAACTCAAACTGAGGATTTGAGAAAGTTTTCATGCAAGAAACAATTTTTCTAAAAGGTAAAAGAATTTGAGAAAGCAGAAAGAAGCAGTGTGTATGATCAGTCAGCGCCCGAACGGTGATTTCCCAAAATACCCTTATGTTACGTGTTATAAGATATGACATGATATGGTATGTATGCTAGAGTAGGCTAGGTATTTATATTAGGTCTAGAGTGGCCTGATTTGTGATTCCTTAGTCTTGGAGATTACTGTTGTTATGAGATGCTTGAGAGTGAGTAGGTAGTAGTGAGGAACTTATGAGGGGGCTACCGAAGGGTAGCCGGTGCTTAGCGAGAAGTAGAGTACTTGTGATCTGGGATCCTAGGAGGAGGACTTAGTGTGAATACTGATGCGGTGTGGACGGTAGTATAGGGCCCGTACTACTAAAAACACCGGATCAGTGCGCAGTCCAAGTAAGAATCCTTAAAGTACTAAGGAACAAGTAGGGATGGGTTATCGAGTGCGTGCATACTCGATCAAGTCTCTGATATTTTTATGTTGTATTTCAGAGACATCATGGTTGGGACACGCCATAGACTAGAGACTAGTGACGTAAGTGATGAGGAGCTTCGTCAGATGATCCATGATGAGGTGGCTGCAGCCATCCGAGCAGAGATATCGGAGATGTTTAGGTCTATCAAGACCACATTGATCGAGACGTTTGATAAGAGATACACTGCGGTTATTGAGGCTGCAGCCGCTGCACCTACTG